CCCAAGGGTGAGCCTGGCGCCTGCCCTCTGCCTAAAGAGCGTGGGCAGAAAGGGCAAGTTGGGGAGAGGGAGCAGAGCCTCTTCTGGCCCCACAGAAGGCTGCAATGCAGCACCCACGTGCCGGGGCTCCGCTGTTCCCTGCGTCCCCTGGGCTGGGGCCCTGCCCCACGAGGGTCTCCTTAGTGCTGGTGAGGGGTGCGCGTGGCCTTCCGGACCGTGGCGACATGAACGGGCGGTCGCGACAGGCTGTGACAGGGCTGGCTGGGAGAGCGGTGGGCGGGGGGTCCCTGTGCTCCCCTCCTCAGCGATGCCCCGTTGTTAATGTACCTGGTACCCCGGTGCCTGGGATTCCCTGTCGCAGTCAGGGGTCTCGCGGGGAGCACAGCGAAGGGGCTGCAATTCTTGCCCCAACCCCAGAATCAGGAAGAAAAAGCCTTTCCTTTCAGCAGAGACTCATGCATCAAACTTCAATTTTCCGGACGATTGAATTAGTGATTTTTTTTCTCCTGAACTAAAATACACTTAAGTCTTTGGGATTAATTACCACGTTCTGGTCCCTCAGACTGTAGTATTAGTTATCGTTGCCATATTCGACATCAGCCCTGACACCTCATAAAATAAGGAACTGAATTTCACTGACTCAACCTGCTTTAGCCCTGTTGGATAATTCAGGAGGGGGCTTTATTCTCCGTCTGGGAGTCCTGTGTGAAGTGAACAAGATCAAATATGGATCTTCTCCCCCCCTTCCTTCTCCCCTCAAAAATAAAAGAATGAGGAAAAAAAAAAAAAGAAAAAAAAATCCCACAACCCCAAGGATTTCTCTGCATTTCCAGGCAGAGAACAACCCTCACCGCCCCCTCCTTTCCTGCTCCCCTCCCACCTCCAAACGAAATCCAAGGCAGTGCCAGGTTTGGGGATGAAGGATGGTGTATGTGTGTGTGGGGGGCTGCACAGCGCTTAATCCACGCGGTCTCCACCGAGAGCAAACGGGCTGGGCCCGGGTCCTGTGCAGGACAAGGGGCCGTGGGGTAAGCAGGGAACCCCCTTCCCTGTTATTATGTCCCCATCAGCAGCTCCGCAGCCCGCCAGCCCTCCCCGCAGTGGGGCCACCTGCCTAAAGCAGCAGCCTAAGCACCTGCCTGTGCCTCGACCCCGATCCGCGTCCAGCCTCGACGGGGGGGACGCGGCCTCCTCGCCCCGTTCGTGCCCTGGACCCCCGCGCTCCGAGCAGGTGGGGGGGCGCCGCGCCACCATGGGAAGGCTCGGGCTCGGGGGATGCGGATCCCGCCGCACTGGCTTTCAGACAGTTATTTTTCCTGTCGGGAATCCCGCGTGGCCCACTCAGATCCGGACCCTTTTCGCTCTGGTTTCTCCTGGAAGGGGGAGCCCGTCCCCTGCCCCGGCCTGACCTTGGAGAGCCGGCGCGATCCGGGCGCGGGAGCCGCTCCCGGGCTCGGCGCACCGGGACACGTAGCGGGCGAGGAGCGGCCCAACTGCGCGGCCCGCCGCTCTCCGGGTGCGCCCAGTTTTGCCCAGGGGGTGAGAAAACGGCCGCGGCTCTGCCTCCCTCACCCCCCAGCCCATGTGCAGCAGGGCAGGGACAGGAACGGGGGGAAGGTGGGCAACCCCCACCCCGCCCCCGGTATTGACGGACGCGGGTGCGCAGCGGCGAATGGCGACGGGTGCCGGGACCGTTTCGGTCGACTGAGCCCGGTTTGGGGCTGTGGTTGGGAAGTGGGGGGGTTCCTCGAGCTGGGAGCGCGGAGCCGGCAGCAGCGCTCGGAGCCGGCGGCCGAAAAGCTGCGGCTGGGTCAGACCCAAAGGGCGCGATTCGGCTCTTCCGCCTCGTCCCTAGTCCTGCTGCGGGGAGAGAGAGAAACAAAATTAAAGATAAGAGGAAAAATCCAATTTCTAAATGTACCTAAAATCCTAAAAGGAGCAAAGCTGGAATGAGAAATCCGTCCGGTTGGGTCATCCAAGGAAACAGCGCGTTCAGAAAAAAAATAAATAAATAAAGGGGGGGGGTATAGATGAAGGGGCACTAGTCTGCTCTCGATTTTTAAGTTAAAAAAAAAAAAAGAAAAGAAAATGGAAAATATCTTTTCTTTCTGGATGTAAATTAAATAACCAAAACGCTGGCTATTTGGAAGGGAGGCTGAACCAAATTAACACGCTGCAAATCTTCAAGAGGAGGCAATATTTACCAGCCCGCCCCAGCCACGTGTGGAAAACTTCTGCGGGCGCAAGGCAGCCCCGCAGCTCCTCTGTTTGCACACAGGAGTCAATAGATCAGAAACTCAAATGAACTCCGAGCCTATTTTCCATAGCCCCAGCCACCCCCCTCTTTTTTTTTTTTTTTTTTCTTGCTTATATTGAATTGTAGTGTTTGCAGCCTCATTAAATCCATTCGAAGACAAAAGAATAAAAGACTAAGGGGAGGGAGGGGGGCAGGGGAGGAGAGGGAATGGGGGGGGAGAACAGATAAAGAAAACAAATAAAGCCCTTTAACTAGATCTTCACATAAATGTCACAGTTTCTCAGCATTTACGATTTGCCTGTTTAGCATAAAAACACTTAAGGACAAGATTGAAGGCTTTCCGAGAGATCTGGACAGAAGTCAAACCTATCACTTGGAGGAGAGGAAAAAACAAACAAACAAACAACAACAACAATAAAAAAGCAGGGATGGCGGGGAGGGGGCGGGAGGTGGCGGAAAACAAGTGCTCTCCCAAATAATACCAAAGAAAGTGGATTTCATTGTAATTCATAGGCTTGTTCCAAATACCAAGAGAGAAAGGGAGAAGAATAGAAGCGCACAGATGCCCCGACGAAGGGAGAACAGCTCTGCTCCCATTGTTGGGGAGTTAAACAGTGGAAGGGAGGGTTAACCTAATCCATCAAATTGTCTGGAAATTGTGAAGAAAATTCAAAAACCATATGGTCTCCAAGCGCTCGCCTTCTCTCTGCTGCGGAGGGGCACGCTTGTTTCAGCATGGCGAACCGCAGGAGGCTGTATATGCTCCATTGTCGCTTGTCACTTCAGAGAAGAGGGCTCATTTGTCCCCAGTTTTCATGCTTTACGCTAAAAATTACAACCCCATCCATTCTCAAAGAGGAGAAAGATTTATTTAGCCTCGGAGAAACTGGACCAAAAAAAAAAAAAAAAAAAAAAAAACCCACCCTACAAACCAACCCTGTCTTATCTGGACACTTCTCTGGGCAGCTCTGCCACTGTACACCAGATTTGTCTTTCTCACATAAATTTTGCAAAGAATAGGGAGAAACACACGTTGCTCAGCTCCAAAGGCAGGTCACGCTGCCAGAAGAAAACAAATTCACGACAGCCTTAATTTTGGCAGGAAAAAAAAAAGGGGGGGGGAAGGAGGAGAATTAAACATTTTCCATCCTCATATCCCTGTARGTGCCGGAGAGCCAGATTTTTTTGCCCGTAAGCAGGGAGGTTTCGCAAGGCTGGCGAAGGACAGATCCCCCCTTCTGCTCCCACATGCGGCTCCTTTTGTCGGGCTCGGCGATAACTCGTGGCTGTTTCTCCGCTTTGCTTTTTTTCCCCCCTTTTCCTCTCCGAGATTTAGCTCTGGAAAAGGCGCCGTTGGCTGCGCTGGTGCCCGGCTGGGAGCAGCGGGGCAGGCGGGCGGCTCTGCTCGTTGCTACCAGCCCCGCGCCGCCCTCTGCTTTAATTTCTCTGTATGGAAGAGAAAAAAAAAGAAAGAAAGAAAAMCAAACATATCGARAAAGTCGCTTCTTCTGAGCTCTACCTTTCCCTAAGCTTATGTATATATTTATAAAGGGAAATATAAAAAGAATAAGGAACTTCCCTCATAGGCGTCCATTCCCTGTCGTTTTCTCACAGGTGCTGCAGCGAAAGTAACTTTAAATGCGACCACGATGGGCAATTCCTGTGGGGGAAATGTATTTCGCACTCTCAAACGGATGGGAGGTAGTGAAAGGGGTTTGAGTTCACAGAGAAGGACGTTAAAAGTGTATTAAAATGGTAAAGATTTTATTGTATCGGAAAAAAAAGGAGCTATCTGTACAATTCTAAGAGACAGTAAATAAAGCGACATCGTCCCTATCGAAACTTAAATAGCAGGCCTTTAAAATTTTGTACAATTCAAACAAAAACATTTTTTTTTTTTAAATCTGTACATTTTTAATTTATAGAGTAATATTTAAATGTAATGTTCTTGGGATTCGTTCATTTATTATAGCATGCAAAAATTCTAAAAAGAGTAAAAAATAATTCTAGGATTTTTTTAATTTTCATTTTTGTTACCACCTTCATATCAAAAATACGAAAGGCAGCTTTTTAATAAAAGCACAACAATAGCAGAAAATGGTAAAAATAGCTTTTAATTGGTAAAATGAGGCAGAAATTGCATTGGAGACAAATCTATGCTCTAGGAAAAAAAAAAAAAAAAAGAAAGTATATATTTTTAAACTTGCATTATAACCCATCGCCCAAATTCCCAAGATTGCAAAGGAAAATATTTTTTAAAGGAAAAAAAAATACGTCGTGCACATTTGAAACATGCAAGGAAAGAAAAGTCGCTATTTTTTTTTGTTTGTTCGAAATCTAACTTAAATCTCCTCTAAAGTGGTTGGTTCATTTCGCAAGTCTTTGAGAACAACTGCCTCCCCAAACATCTGTCGGCAGCCGAGTTTATTCCGAGGTTACGCGTCTCACTTATAGACAAAATAATCATAGTTGAGAGCTATTAAAAATAATAATAATAAAACCTCCCAAAGAAGGGGGGAAAGGAAAAAAAAAATCCGATATATAGGTTTAAATATTTATACAGAAGCCGTCCGTGATTGCACCATTCCAGCGATGTGACAGGCGGAGGGACACACCGACTCTACCCTACGTGAATGTGTGTGTGGCCTGGGTTTCTATTGCTTATTGCTTGTACCGAGCAGGAGCAGCCGCCGGGGCCGGGAGCGGGGAGCGCGGCCGGGACCGCGCGGGGCCGGGGCGCCCCTCAGTCATCCACGTCGATCTCCACGTCCTCCTCGTCCTCGTCCTCCTCGTCCTCGCTG